GTGCAGCAAAAGCTGAAATTTCAGTTTCTTGTAGATGCTGAAGAGTTGAACTGATTGGTACCCTGTTTCCCCGAAAATAAGACCTACCCCGAAAATAAGACCTAGTACTATTTTTGGGAATTGCTTAAATATAAGACCTACCCCGAAAATAAGACCTAGTTGTGACCATTCCCAGGGCCGGTGGTGGCATAAGGGGGAACTTGAAAAGTCGCGGGAGAGAATCAGCGGTGCCAACAAAGCCAGCGCTAGAGGAAGCGAGCCGGCACCGGAGGAACCGATGCCTCCTCTATAGCGCCGGCTCCCGTCACAGGCGGGGTGATACCAAATGCACTTCGCTTGTGAGGAATCGATAGTGAAAGTGCGCTTCGCTCATTCTGGCCAGCGATTGGCTAGCAAATTGCTCTTGGAAAGGTACGGCACCCCTGATTGCCCTGATCACCATTTTTTTGTACATGAATACATGTTAACTGTTGTACATGAATAAATGTGGATTGTTGTACATAAAAAAAAAAATAATAAGACCTACCCCGAAAATAAGACCTAGTGTGTTTTTTTTGAGCCAAAAAAAATATAAGACAGCGTCTTATTTTCGGGGAGACACGGTAGTTTTTTTTACCTCTAGGGAAATGTACCTATGGTATCTTAATGGGTTCCTAGTTCTGCATACCTGTCATGCTCATTATTAAGGGTCTGCCTCCCTCCCCATTAGACATTTGTTAATATATAATATGAAGAATAAAACTAGAAATGCTGGAACACACACAGGTAGGCAGAAACACCCAAACATCCCAGGTGGACAAGAACAATTGAGAAGAGCAGCATGTAAATCTCATTGTTGGAGAATCCAAAACATATAAGAACCAGGGGCTGCTGCATTCCACTAGGTTCCACATGTAATAAAAAATATATAGCTTTTCGGTGGGTTGGCCCTTTAAAAAGAAAACTAAGTAAATCAGATCCCAATGAACATTTTCTATTTTCACCTACAAAATGAAAGTTAATATCCAATTATTTGCAATGAGCTATCACACTGTGTTCTGTATGCTACATTTGCAGAAATTGAACCTGTTTTTATCTGTGGTCCAGACCTGACATAATGCTTGAAGATTTCTTTGAATGGCAAAAGTTGTAATTTAGCTTTACCTTCAGTATCATAAAATAGGTGACAGACTTTGGGGAATCATATACCATATCACTAAAGCTAAATAGGCTGTTCACTCTGTAAGCGGATTTGGAGTTTGCAGGGGAATTCCCCCTTAGTTTAGTGAATAAGGTAAAGCTCTGCTGGCTTCCATAACCCAATCATGTGCAAGCAAAAATACTGTTTTTTAAAATTCTCCTTGCAGGTGATTGGGTTTTAGGGATACACCGAAATAAAATTTGAAGACTAAAACCGAAAATAAAAATTTTCTCAGGCCGATACCTAGACTGACTTTTTTCCAACCCTTTCAAAATACGCTTAATTCTTTTTTCATTATTTTATTTTTATAATTATTATTTCTATTTTTATTTTATTTCTATTTTTATTTTATTTTATTTTTTTACTTTACTGTGAGGGGTTTTGGGGAAGTATCTAAACAGACCCCAGATATTTCTTTCTTAAAATAGAAAAAGAGTCCTCAAGCTAATTTTCTGCAGCCCCTGTTTTAAATGAACAGGAATCCTCTATACTAAGTGTTTTTTTATCTTATTTCTTATCTTTTCTTAATAATTTTATTGTAATGTACCTTCTGCAATTA